CCCTACATATTTTTCCCAAGACATTTTCAAGAAGCTCCTGTGTATTACTTACGGTTACTTGGCTTCACACAAAAGATATAAAATAAATCTTTACTTGGTGGAAGCATTGCTCTGTGGCTTGTAGACCAAAGCTGTTTAAAATTAGATGGAAAATATCAGAGCAAAGCTTTCAGATTTATGTTTAGCCTGGTTTATGAAGACCTAATGCCAAAGTAGTATTTTATTTTATTTTTTCTAACAATATGGAATGCTTCACAAAGTTGTGTTTTATCCTTGCACAGGGGCCATATTAATCTTCTCTGTATCATTCCAATTTTAGTATATGTGCTGCCAAAGCAAGCCCAAAACTAGTGTTATGCCCAGATTTCAAGATCCCCAAGAAAACCACACCAGGGAGCCAGTCCGATGCAAAAGCAGGAGGTCCTTTATTGAGCTAGCTAACTCGACCCCGCCCTCCGGTCGGCTCAGTGATCGGAAGCAGAGTGCCACCCGTGAGAAAATCAGGGCTTTAATAGGGGGGTGGAGTGAGGGGAGGGGAGCTGACTGTGGGCCCTGCCGATTGGCCAGGCGCAAGTCGGGTCTTGTTACACAGGATGTGGTCATCTCTATGGCGCGCATGTTTCTCGATTGTCATTGGTTAGTTTAAAGAAATCCCGGCTTCCGGGAAGAAGGTACTTTCCTGAGCACATGGCGACTGCCCCAACATGGAGGATCCGGGGTAAGATAGAGGGCATAGCCCTCGCCCTTTCATTAGTATTTTAATTGAGTTGGCAGAAAAGTACGTATAAAAACTGTACTTCCATTTTACTGGTCTATGGTGCCCTACACATCAGTCAAGGTTTCAGTTGTTTCTATATAATTAAAATTTGAAGCACAGTCACCAGTTTTTGTATTAACACTTACGTTTACAGTCTGTGTGTCCATATGCGTACATATACAGTAGTCTCCCCCCATCTTTGGATGTTTGAAATCGCAGGTAGTACTGAACCCTGTGTACAGCAAGTCCTCACTTAATGTCATTGGTAGGTTCTGCAACTTTAAGCAAAACAATGTATAATAAAATTAATTTTACCACAGGCTAATTGATATGAACAAGAGTTAAGTTCCTATGGCTTCTCATCAAAATTATAATGAAACAATATCGAACAAAATGATGTTATTCAAGCACCGGCCAAATTCTGTTTTTTCCTATACATGCATACCTATGATAAAATTTAACTTATAAATTAGGCCCAGTAGGAGGTTAACAACATAACTAATAATAAAATAGAACAATTATAACAATATACTGTAATAAAAGTTATCTGAATGTAGTCTCTCAAAATATCTTATTGTGCTGTACTCAGCTTTTCACTTAAAGGAAACACTTTATGACTTCTCTTTGGTGTATCCCAATTGCCAGCATCACTACTCTTGCGCTTTGGGGCCATTATTAAGTAAAATAAGTGTTACTTGAACACAAGCACTGCGATACTGAGATAGTTGATCTGATAACCCGAATGGCTTCTAATCAACTAACAGGCAGGTAGCTGTACAGTGTGGATATGCTGGACAAAGGGGTGATCCACGGCCGGGGCAGGACAGAGTGGGATGGTGCAGTACTTAAAACTTGTGAATTGTTTATTTATGGAATTTTCCATGTAATATTTTTGGATCACAGTTGACTGAAACTGCAAAAAACAAAATTACAGATATAAGCAGACACACCACACATATATGTATATATATTATATATGTGTGTATATGTATGTATGTATGTATGTATATAGTATTGGTAGTACTTAGTATATATATGCATCATTCTCAAATAGCATTGATTAAGCATCTGAGTATATGACACTGACTTCCCTCTACATGTGTAGCTAAGCTCTAGCTACAGGCATAAAGGATAAATAATATATGGTTACTATAAATAGCAATAGAAAATAGTGGTAAATATAAATTCAAGATTTTGTCCATTAGTTTTCTTGTTTGAATATGGAATGCTTGTTGTAATTTTCCATATGAGGCCATAGTTCATAAAGTTATTTTTAAATTTTAGGCATCCTGAGTTTTAATAGCAAGCACACATTTCAACATAGCTGGCCATTATGATTTGTACCCAAGTGCCCCTTATAAAAGTGGAGAGTGAATTTGTAGCCCTAGAAATAGGAAGGTGACCTCCTATAAAGACATTCTATACTTGCATTTCAGAATTCATTGTAAATTCTGCATTCTTCTCTCTGTTTCAATACATTTATCCCCAAATAAAGCTGATGCTGCATAAAGACATCCCGTGGCTTCCAATACTCCAGTTTGAGAAGCATGATAATAAATGGAATCCCATTTCCCAAAGGCCTTTAAGTCAGAAATGCTTTCTTATAAGGAAGTTTCGACTTCATAGTCTGGGTTCCATGTAGGCCTTACTGAAAGTGTAACGGGTTCTCCTGAGTCGCCTCCTCGGTGTCAGGGGTTTCTCTCCATCTTTTGGACCGCCTGCCTTGTTGTCTTTGTGTGTCATTTCTTGGACAGTGCTTTTGATGAAACCCTTCTTCTTTGATCTTTGTTTTATCTTGGTTTCCCTATCCTGTTTCTTTTCAAAGCTCTTAGGCCATTCCTTCCTGTCTTTGTTATTCCTCTCTCCCCCTAATTGTGATTCTGTTCCCAGTTAGGTTTTAGCTTCTCCTTCCTCACTTGATATCACTTTTCTCAGCTATTTCAGTTCTGTTCTCTCACTTATAATATCCAGGTGCCTTTTGGACAATCCAACTAGGACATTTTAAGGTCACTTCATATTTGACATTTATAAACTCACTCTCACATCCCCAGTGCCTTGCATAGAGCCTGGCACAGTAGGTACCAACAAATACTTACTGAATGAATGAATTAAATGAATCTCATTTCCCTTCAGACCAGATTCCTCCTCTAATTTTCACCTTTTGTCATGGTATCACTGTTCTTACCTCTGCTCTCTGCTATTGCAAGTATTTCGTTGATTTTTTTTCTTTTGAAATATATCATATATGTATTAGTTATTTTTATGACTTTAACTCTATGGAGGTGCTTGGCAACTCATGCCAACATTACTCCTACGGTTTCCCATCTGGCCTATTCGGTTCTAATCTCTTTTCTCTCCAAGCTATTTCCACCACAGCTACTCTAATAACTTTTTAAATGTTTACTTATTTCTTGTTTTAATGTGCTGTTTATTTTTGGAATAATTTTAGGTTTATAAAGAAATTGCAAAAATAGTACTTTTACCCAGTTTCTTCTGATGTTAAATTAACATTTTACATAAGCATGGCTCATTTGCCAAAATTAAGAAATTAGCATTGGGCCCTGGCTGGTGTGACTCACAGTTGGTTAGAGCATTGTCCTGTACACTGAAAGGCAGCAAGTTTGATTTCCAGTCAGGGCACATACCCAGGTTTTGAGTTCGATCCCCGGTTAAGGTGCATGCCAGAGGCAACCGATTGGTGTTTCTCTCACACATGATCTCTCTCTCTCTCTCTCTCTCTCTCTCTCTCTCTCTCTCCCCCCCCATATCCCTCCCTTCCTCGCTCTAAAAAATTGTTTTAAAAAATTAACATCGCCACATAGCTATTAACTAAAACCCAGACTTCATTCAGTTTTCACTAGATTTTCCACTGCTGTGCTTTTGCCACATTACCGTTTAGCATATCATCAGGCCTCATTTGGAGTATTCTATTCAGTTCTAGGTATTATATTTCAAAGGGGCATTTTTGAAGTTAAAGTACCTGCATTATTTTTCTGTTGCTTCCAAAACAATTTATCACAAATTTAGTGGCTTAAAACAATGCAAATTTATTATCTTACAATCTGTAGGTCCAAAATCCAGCATGAATCTCACTGGGCTAAGACCAAGCTACCTCAAGGCTGATTCCTGGCCATTTCCAACTTCAAGTAGCTCCCTTCCCCCATCTTCAGAGCCAGCAAGAGCAAGTCCAGTCTCACTTTGCCTCTCTCTGACCACAGCTGGGAAAGGTTCACCACTTCCAGAGGACTCGTGTGATTACTTTGGACCCATCTGGATAATCTCCCCGTCTCAAAATCCTTAACCTCAAAGAAATTGTGTTTTAAAAAATTAACATTGGCTCATAACTATTAACTAAAATGCAGACTTTATTCAGTTTTCACTAGATTTTCCACTGCTGTACTTTCGCCATGCAAGGTGACATATTCACAGGTTCTAGTGATTAGGGCATGCACATCCCCGGGGGGGCGGGGGGGGGGGCGGACCATTATTCTGCCTACTCAGTGCTTGTTACAGAGGACCACCAGGAAGGGTGAAGGAGCTAAATTGGATACAGAGGATCAGGAAAAGAAGAATTGGAGATGATCCTAAAATTTCATGCCTAGGAAAGAAGAGATGATGTTCATAAAATGATTAGTGTAGTAAGTACATAATAAATGGTTTTTGCTTTGAAGGCTAACTCAGAAATTTCAGGCATATAGTGGTTCAGAGGGGAAAGAAGATTAGGGATGGGAAAGCGGATGAAACAGAATTTGGGATCCAAGTTGTCACTTTACATTAGATCAGCAGGTGGTTTCATTGTCCAAAAGCACTAAATTTAACAAGAACTGTACTATTTTCCTAACTAGTGAGAGTTGAGGTAAATGGGGGAGATGGGAGATGGCAGTAGAGAAGCAACTTTCCGTGTGTGTGTGTGTGTGTGTGTGTGTGTGTGTGTGTGTGTGTGTTTTGCCATGATTATACAGTGGATAGGTCCTAAGGAGTTGGGGAAACTTTTATCAAAGGAAGAAAGCAAGATTTTTAAAGCTCATAGGACTATTGTGTGTCTCTCTCCCCCTCCCCCACCAGAAACATATGGAAACAAAATCCCCTCTGAACCCAAAGCCCAGCCATCAGAGACAATTGAGAGTTTTCAGACTTTCCCTATAATCTTCCTTACATTTTTCTCTTTAAACACATTGAAATCAACCTTCAAGAAGTTGCTGATAAGTGGTTATCAAGCAGGAGTTAAATTCACAAGCCCTCCCCCCTCCCCCTGGGGTGGCAGCCTCCAAGGCCAGTGAATGTGTATCAGTGTGAACCTGATCCAGAACCTGATCCCAGCCAGCGAGGGAGCAAAGTGTAGTCTGTGAACAAATAGGTGGCTGACTGGCAGTCTCGTGCTGTCTGTCCAGACGTCAGCTTGCTGTGGTGTAAGTAGTTTTGATTTTAAAAATTATGATATTGGGATATAAAACGGATTGTAAGAATAATTTCCATCTAAGATTACATTAAGGTTCTGCTTGACCCTCAAGCTTGTGTGCTAGACCTACCTAAAAGAAAAGTTTCACAAGTCGTTTTATGTTAAACAACGAAAAGGAAAAAGCAATGAAGCTTTTCAGCAAGTGTTCTACTAACACAGGTCCTGCTCACATATGGTTTTCAATGTCTTGTCTTTGGATGAGTGAGGTTGTTTACAGTCAGAAAATGAAAGTGAGTGAATAGATGCTGGTGCCCAGAGGTGGATTATTTCTAAGAAGAGCTTAGATTTCTCCCTGATCTTTCCAGTTGCTCTTCCTTTAGTTTAGGTCCATGTTACAAGTTTACGTCAGCAGATATTTAGTGATCTCTCAGGTAATGAAACTGAAGGTGTTGATGTTCAAATAAATTAAATGATAATAAAGTAGAACTTTAATACTATATAATCGGATGTTGGGGTCCTAGATTTAAGAGCGGCAGAATTTATTTTCAAAGAGGAGGAATTTTGTGAAATGGATGGAAATGGCAAGCAGCCTTAGAAATTTCATGCAACTTTGGAGAAATATGGTTTTAAGATTTTGACATAGGTACTAATTTTCCGGTACTATAGTGTGTGAAATGAATTTCATATATGGAATTAGAATTGCTTTATTTCAACTGTTGCATTTGTATGTTGATGTTAGGATTCCAGGAACTACCCACTGTTACACAAGCATTGACTTTATTGAGTGCAGCTCTGAGAATGTTAAGGTTGCATTTAGTGTTGGAGAGGTTGATATTTTCTATTTCCCTTTTGCCACAATGTATTGAAAAAAAACACACAAAAAAACAACTGCTGGTAGTTCACAATTTTATGACTTTGAATATAGAAAAAAAGTTTGATGTGGTTAATATATAAAAGTTATAAAGGCCAGTAGCCTTTCAAATCAATGCAGGAAGTGCTAAGAAGACCGATTGTTTATGTAGAAATACACTGAATTTCCCCTTTCCTCTGTCTTCATCTCAGACCTCAGGAACATTCAGTCTGTTTCTTGAGCCTCT